CACACACACACACACACACACACACACACACACACACACACACACACCGGTCTTCGACACCTGTCTCCCTTCTTATGGTGGAAAAGGCAAATGGTTGGTTAGTTTCTCTCCAAACCCTCATTTTCGGCCTTCAGGGCAGAAGGCATTCAATTATACTCCGTACATCTCGTCCTGCCCTCTTTCCTCCTTCCTTCCAGACCTATGGTGATGGCCACTTCAGCAACTGCTCACATTTGCCACCTCTAGTTAGTTACTACGTAGCTTTCCAGATCTGAACACAGGGGAACTTAGCAGACAGACACACACTGTTCTTCAGCCAACACCATTAACTACTCATTGTTAATGAATCACTAACAAATGCAGAAATACTGATTATTTCTAACAGCACCATTAGGGGAGGTAGGAATCACAACCTTCAACCTCTTTATTAGTAAATCCAGGTCACTCATCTTTACCAACTTTTGAATCCCATCAAGTTTTGTGTAACTTGTATCTTTACAAGAAAAAACAAAAACAAACAAATGAAAGAAAAAACATGAAAGCACTAAAAAGCAAGGGGGAAGAGGAAATGAAGGCTACACCCCTAGAAAGAGGGGTCAAACAGAAGACCACACAAGGGACCTTGGCCTTTTCCTTGACTGTGCTTTGCACAGGGCAAGGCCCAGTAGAAAGCTATAATTCTTAAGAATCTTTGACAACCAGAAAAAGGGAAATATAAGTATAAAACATCAAGAGAAGAACACCGAGAAGGGGAAAATTGTAGACAGGAAGTGACAGAGTAAAGTAGATGGTTGGAAGACGACTAGAGTGAACAGCCCAAGTCAGAGGGGTTTTCATGAAGATCTCAAGCTCTGTGGAGAGGACACGCATCTCTTCTAGAGGAAGGTCAAACTTCATACCTTTACAAGTCTAACTTGAGCCTCACTAAGCTTAGGCAATCTCCGGGCATCTTTTTTTTTTTTTTAATTTAATTTTTTAAAAATTTATTACAATTTATTCACTTTGTATCCCAGCTGTATCCCCCTCCCTCATCTCCTCCCATACCCCTCCCCTAGTCCACTGACAGGGGAGGTCCTCCACCCCTTCCATCTGACCCTAGCCTATCAGGTCTCATTAGGACTGGCTGCATTGTCTTCCTCTGTGGCCTGGTAAGGCTGTACCCCCCGGGCCCTGCAAAGAGCCAGCCACTGAGTTCATGTCAGAGACAGTCCCTGTTCCCGTTAGTAGGGAACCCACTTGGACACTGAGCTGCCATGGGCTACATCTGTGCAGGGGTCTTAGGTTATCTCCATGCATGGTCCCTGGTTGGAGTATTGGTCTTAGAAAAGACCCCTGGGCCCAGAATTTTTGGTTCTGTTGCTCTCCTTGTGGAGCTCCTGTTCCCTCCAGGTATTTCTATCTCCCCCTTCTCTATAAGATTCCCTGCACTCTGCCCAAAGTTTGGCTATGAGTCTCAGCATCTGCTTTGATACACTGATGGGTAGAGTCTTTCAGTAGGCTCCTGTCCTGATCCCTGTTGTCTCCCTCTTTCGATGTCTATCCCGTTTGCCTTTCTGAATGAGGACTGATATTCTTACCCAGGGTCCTCCTTCTTGCTTAGCTTCTTTAGGTGTACAGACTTTAGTGTGTTTATCCTATATTATATTTCTAATATTCACTTATAAGTAAGTATATACCATGTGTATCTTTCTGTTTCTGGGATTCCTCACTTAGGATGATCTTTTCTAGTTCCCACTATTTGCCTGAGATTTTACCTTACACCCATCAGAATGGCTAAGATCAGAAACTTAAGTGACAACACATGCTGGAGACAATGTGGAGAAAGGGGAACCCTCCTCCATTGCTGGTGGGAATGTAAACTTGTACAACCACTCTAGAAATCAATCTGGCGCTTTTTCTCAGACAATTAGGAATAGTGCTACCTCAAGATCCAGTTACATCACTCCTAGGCATATATCCAAAATATGCTCTAGCACACAACAAGGACATTTGCTCAACCATGTTCGTAAGAGCTTTACTAGTAATAGACAGAAGCTGGAAACAATCCAGAGGTCCCTCAACTGAGGAATGGATACAGAAATTGCGGTACATTTACACAATGGAATACTACTCAGCTATTAAAAACAAGGAAATCATGAATTCTCCAGGTATCTTAAGACCAAAGGCCAATGGTTCCCCTTGGAAAATAACAGATGTGTACTGCTGTTGTTCAGCCACAGTGCCTGACATTCTGTTAAAATCACAGAGCATTATGAAAAGCAGGAGTGAAAGTCCAACAACCGCAGGGTGGCTATAACAATATCAAAGCAACAACTTGACAGAACAGCAAGTGTCAGAGGGACAGAATTTCTCACACATCCTGGTGAGAATGCAACAAAGGTACAACCACTATGGCAGACGTTAAAAAGCTTAACACTAAGTCAGCACTGAATCTAGCAATTCTAACTCTTGTACCTATACTAGAGCTGAGAACACCCAGTCACGCAAATGTGTAGATAAAACACCCACTAAGGCATCCCTCAGAAGAACCCCAAGTGAAAAAACGTAATCTCTGCCAGCCAGTGAATAATAATGTCTGAATAAACAAAATATGGACGAGCATCACAATGGAGTGATATTTGGTCACACAAAAGCATGCCGGTAGTGACGCACGTTCAACAGGATGAGTGGAAAAGGCTGCAAACAAGAAGCTCTCACGTGACTCCATTTTTACAAATGCCCAGAACACGCAAACACAGGGACAGAGAGTAGATTAGCTGTTGCCCAGTGAAGAGTAGAAGGGAGAATTGAGACTCTGTGACAGATACGAGGGTTTTTAACTAAGATTCCTTTTCGGATGGGTGTTTTGCCTGTATGTTGCCCAAGGAGGCTATAATAGATCACTGGATCCACGGGAATTGCATTTACAGATGAATCGTGCAGGTATGGAACAAACCCGGGAAGACCAACTGCAGACATGACACAGTGGTAATGTTTGCATAACTGTGCACATATAAATGACCACTGAGTTGTGTGTTTTACAATGGCTACCAAACCCAATCCTATATAACAAAGGCACGTAAAGCATTCAAATCTGGGGGCTGTCAAATGAGTAACTAATTAATTAATTAATGGAGAAAAAAAAAAGAATACCATAACAAGCAAACCAAGGGAAAAAAAAAACTCATAAAAATTACCATGCTTGATATTAGCAAGAACAGAGAGAGAGGAAGAGAAAAAAAGAGAAAGAGAACAAGAAAAATGAGAGGAAGAGGGAAGGGTAGGGGTTGGAAAAAGGACAGGGAGGGGGAGGAGGAGAGAGACAACAGGAAAATAGAATTTCTGTGAAGTCCTAGAAATCTTATAAAGAGGTCAGATGTAAATCCCTGAAGTAGAAGATGAAATCACTGAAATTAAGAATGCAATAGATAGAAACAAGACAGGACTGGAAATTACAGAAATGTAAAAGAGAGAAAATGCAACTCAAAGAAAGAGTGCACATAGACTGATGTAAAGAGTGTGTCTATATGCACAAGATCTAGCACTGAAAAGAAAACACAAAAGCACACACAACATCTAACTGGAGTTACAGAATAAAGAGGACAATGGTGACATGTCTGGAGAACACTGGCTAAGAGTCACTCAAAGTTAACAAAATGGCTCCTGTAAAGGACTAAGACAATATATAAGAAGACCTTAGTTACACTAAAATAACCCTCTATCCAACTTGAGGATGAAATAAAAATTCCATAAAGGTGAGCAAAAGCTAGAATTTGTTATAAGAGGTTCACCATACAATTACTAGGTCTGGAGAATGGCTAAACACTGCAGGGCACTGGCTGCTCTTCCAAAGGACCTGAGATCAGCTCCTGGCACCTACACGGCAGCACTCAACCAGTGAATTCACAACCTGTTGGTTCCCCTGCCTCTGCAGGCAACAGGTTCATACATGGTACAGACATACAGGCAAACTCTCAAACATACAAAAGAAATTAAAAATCTTTAAAAAAGCAAATAGCTATGTAAGTGTTTAGATGAATATGACAAAGATGAATGAATAAACAGATTGATAAAGGTAAATCACTACTAACATCCAAAATAACAATGACATACAGAAGGGGCTGGGAACAGCTCAGAAATAAAAGAACTTGCAAGCACAAGGCGCTAGGGCAAATCATCAGTGCCACAAGGAAAAGGAGGGATGCTCTCAGGATGAAGACATCCATTCATCAGCAAGAGCTGGCCAGCAGGCGTGTATACACACTTCGTAATAC